CGAAAGAAAAAAGTTTGCCTGCGCTTTGATCCGAGTAGCATCCTCTGGAGTACACGTATCGGCGATTGAAATTATGGGACGCAGGTCCGATGGAAATCGGATGGAGGAATGTTTGAAAAATAGTAGTGAGGATTAACGAGTTGATTTATACGAGTTTCACCAGATACGGACCACGACATTTAATTACCTTGAATGATTCATTAGTGATTAATAATAATGGTATAATAAAAATGGTTCGTTTCCAGGCATCGTCAAAATATTACCGTCCGAAAGTATTAATAATCATTCTTGGAATATTTAATACCGCCGGTGATTGTGATTGACGTCCATTATTTCACTCGATAGGTTAATCCAATTTTAATACATCAACGACCGTTTTCAACAGAAGGTATCGCTTCTCGAAACGTCTCTGTATCCAAGCACGATTCACCAATAATTGGAATTTATTTTTCGATTTCTAAATCCGGCGGCCGTTGATACGACAAATAATGACGACGATTCCACGAATACTTCTTTCGTGGAATTTGATATTTCCTTCGAGATGCAACCAGCATCTTTGTTGGTCCATCGGACTGTAATCTGTATATTACGCTGTAATCTCTTTTCATATCGCTGCACGAGCGCACGTTGGCTTTTCGTCTCCCCTCTCCCTCCCCCAGCGTGTTTCACGCCGTAATGCACGATGTTTCGACGTAGTAATTAATATTTAATGACAGAATGCCGCCGCGTAATCGGCTCAACTACGTTGCACGAGGCATTACGGCGGTGTCGACCACGGGATGGCTGGCTTGAGGCCTTGATATTCGAGCGTGTAACGAAAACCACGCCGGACGTTTTCTTTAATGCGGAAAAAGCACGCTCGCCCGAGGAGCCATCGACAACTACCGAGGCTTTTTACCTATTAATTTCTCACCGCTGACACGGTGCACCCTCGTGGGACTCGACAGCCGCTCGAGAAAGACGCAAGACTGTTTGCAGGGCTGGTACGTCGAAAGGAGACGAAACTCCAAAAGAGGCTCTTTGATTGTTCGCGAAATTTGACCGAGTTTAACGCTCGAACTGGATTTCTCGTATAATATAACGTAGAAAAATACGTGAAAGTCGCTCTGACTGGCCCTCTCGAAGCGAGGAAGTTTCCGAGCGAGGTAAAAATTAATTTCAGCTTCGCTCTCGAGAATAACTTAAACGTTAAACTCGGGAGCGTGCTTCGGTCTTTGCCAAACTCTTGGCTAACGTTTACCGTATCGAGGGGTATTGGAACGCCCTCGCAATTTATACGCGAGTTTCATTTACGACCCGAGACGTTGCATTCGATTATCCGTTCTCGATTATCTTCGCCCAGCCAAAGCCAGCGCGATTGATCGAAACAGTTCATCAATGTCGGTAATCGTCGTCAGTGGCCAATCGATTTGATTAATTTTCACGTAAGAGGATCTAGCTCCAGACCTCTCGTTACATCCTCCGCGGCATCCGCTCTACAATTATATTTTCATTCGTGGTAGAACGTCCGAGTCGAACGTCCAATCATCCGCAGAGCAATCCACGTGGATAGAAGATACTTCCGCGAGCCTGCGCCTCTCCTCTCCTGACATCTCATCTACGTGGCAGCCGAGAATGGCGCGGAACTTCGAAGACGATTCCGCCACTTACAGGCGATTACACGCCCGGTAAAAAGAAGGCAACGCGACGTTCAAAGCGAACCACCTCAAGCGTTTTAAACTCGATTTTATTTCGACCGAGCGGGGCGCGCCTGTGCCACGCAGCTGAGCGGACTAATTGCGCGTAATTAAATAACGAGCAAGTTGAAACTAACCGCGGTCTGTTTAGTCGGCTGAGAAAAGAATTTCGCAGCAGTGTGTCTACTTCCTCAAAGCGTACGTTCTACGCTTTGTCCAGCAGTGACGTGCTCTCCTCGAACAATCGTAAATAACATCGAACGAGTGAAATACGCGATACGTAATTTCACGTTGCTTTTCAATTAATCATCCTTTCCATCGTATCGGGCAAATATAATTCTGCGTTCGACGTTTACTGTTTGACGGATTGTTTTTTCGTTACGCGAGTCGCGTAAACGACGAACGCGATGAATGATCGGCGAGCCGCTGTTTCAGTCGCGTCGAATGTTTCGAAACGATCAGCCAGTTCGTGCTTGACTGTTTAATTAACAGCGCTTGCTGTATACGCGCGGAATATTAATTTAAAGAAAAAGAGCGAGGAGAGACTCTTAAAACGGCGAGGCAATTATTCGTGATTCTGCTCTTTTCTCCTATTCCATAAAAGATTCCTACGTTAAACTAATTTCTCCAAGTGGCAGTGGGAAGAGAGGTGTTTCCTGCCTTTTTATTTTTTCCCTCTCAGAGAACATTTCACGATGATTTCTCGAGAACGCGAGCAGGAAGCGAGCAACAAACGACTCCGAGAATAGATGATAAAATTTGTATAAATACACTTGGAATTTGTTCTCTTTAGCGGGCAGCGGGCTAAACCGGCGTTTATAATTCCACGGGTTATAATGCGCCTTGGTGCACAGAACGTTGAACGCAACCGGAGCTCTGGATAGTCTTGTGTTCTCAAGATCCTTAAAGCGTAGATGCGTTTAATGCGAACGCTACATTTGTACGGTGAATAAACGATGAAATTATACGTTGTTAAACGACGGATGGCGCGGAACGACGGTGTGGCGTTGTCTATTTCTTTTTTTTTCTTCTTCTTCTTCTTCTTTTTCTCCACCTCTCCGAGATTCCTGCGCGGCGGCTGCGAGGACGGGGAAGAAACGCTTTTGAATAAAACATATTCACCGGCGGCTATGGCCTGAAACTCTATTCTTCCGGTTCTTCTGTCCGCTACACGTCTTTCTCTCGATCCCCTCCCCCGACTACCCCCGGCCTCTCCTATTTTCCTCTTTTCGTCCCCTTTTGTCCGGACTGTGCTGTACACGGCCACTTATTCGCGAGACGAGACGCCTCTTCCCGACAATTAATGTTTCGCATAGCGTCGTCTTTCGTCGGAGGAGGGCGGAGGACTGTTTCGCGAGGATAACAGTTTAAATAGCCCTTAATACCGCGCGCGATCGCGCCCGCGGAATTCACGATGGAATTCTTTTCATCGCTTGCCGCGGTTCACGGCGGCGGATGATTAAAGTGTTTGATGCGGAGATCGGCCGGCTGGGTTCAAGAGGATTCGACGTCCGGAACGTTCGGAATGTTCGAGCGCCGCCCGGGCTAAACTCCGCCGCCCCCGGTATTCTGTCCGTGTTCTTCGATCTCTTCGCCGCTCTCTCTGTGCCGCGACTTTCCCCAGCCGAATTCCGCTCCCCGGTTTCGTTCCACGATTCTATCAAGAGATATGTTTTTTTCAGATATCCAGCTTCTCTCGCGCGCACCTGTCTTTGCGAACAGTGAGAGAGAAGTTGCGGGCAACTTTTCACGGATAGTTGATAATTAATATAGTTTTGTCAAATCGTTAACACGTTGACCGGCCACGAGTTAACTGGTGTTTGCATGCTCAAAACGTTGTTGACCATGAGTTAATTCGTGTTTGCACTTGCATTGGCTATTTTTAATTTTTGACGCTCACGATTTTGTGAAATCTTTCATCGTTGTGTCCAACCGTGTTCACTTTATTATAAAATAATTACTTTTATTGATATTTAGGTTTTTGGTGTTGCAAAAATTTCAATCGATTAATTGATTGAATTATGTGCGGACGCTTTATCTGATTGTCCGAGTGATTTTGAAATATATTGTAGTGAAGTTGATAATTTATCGGAAGGCAGTTGTGAAACGGATATTAGACCTCCGAAACGGTAAATTTGCAAAACCTGTTATATACCGTTACATGTAAATGATTGCTATGCAGTTTATCGTAACAAAAAAAATTACTAAAATATATTATATGTATAAAATATTATATATATATATAGGATATACAAAGTAAATTCATTCTGTATAAATAAAGTATATCGAAGTTTATTTAAATTATTTCACTTTCATACTCAATTACGAAATAATGGCTGGTAGCATGAGATGTCTTCTGCGTAAAATTGCCGGTCAACAATGTGTCGATCATTGGCCAACGAAGCAAATTTAGTGCACATGCATTAAAAATTGAAAAACTTTCAGATTACAGGAAAAAATAATAGCTGAATATTGCTTTTATTGATATTTATATAAATAATAATGCAACAATAACTTTAATAGGTTTTATTAAAACAATTTAGTAAGCAAAGATGTGGTTTTCCTGTGCACCTACCAGAGTATATTGCAACTTTCTACTAAAATTTCTCCTCAGAAATTTTGCATTTTCTTCGTAACAATTTTTACAAAATTTTCTGCCTTCTGCTTTACTGTGTGATGATCTCACGTTTTGCTTGACCGTGCACTTGTCGTTGCGTTAATCTCGCCAGAGGATTAGAATATTAAAATATTCGCAGAATCTCACTTTGTCAAATCACGACCGAAAATGTTTCGTTTCGAATGTTTGATATACTTTAGCGAGTGTCGAACCGATTGCGAGATTGTTGTCGATTTCGAATAAACCGGCGCGTTTATTCGTGATATTGATCAAAATCACTGACAATCGAAGTATAACGAGTATAAACGAAACGGTGTTCCATGATCTAACTGAGAGGAGAGTTATCAAAGTCGATGCTCGTTTACCTGGTCCGAGTGGTCTCGCGTTTCCCATCGTATGGTCGATGAGCTGCGAGTTTCGCCTTCAGCATTCATCACTCGCCAAACTAAATTGCACCTATCCATCAAATCGGGCAAACAACGCCATTAAAAATGATCGAACTCTCTCCCGCGTGTGTGTATATATATAAATCCGTGGTATCTGTTTGTTCTCGGCTAGCTTTTTGCTACCGAACATTGGCTCGACCGCGGAATAACGACTTAATAATCGTTTTGATCGGCCGGTGCTCGATGCTCGCACGACGCTCGCCAGTTTTAATACACCTATTCCTGATTGATGAGCCGCTCGCGTGCCCTTTTTTGCTTCAGGTTCTGACAGCAAGGTGTCGGATCTTGATGGACAACCGTATACAACGTTGTTGTACAGCAACGGACCGGGATACACGCACCCGAGGAATATTTTGCGAGAGGCTGGCAAGGATTCCATTCAGGTAAAAGAAAACAAAGAAAAAAAGAAGGAAAAGAAAGAAGAGAGAAGAAAAAAACGGCCGGATCATATTGCAGTAGCGTAGCAAAGATATCGCCTCGGTGTTTATTGGATCGGAAAATGGTCGAGCTGAAATATCGGGGGCACGTTTAAAAATCCATCACGCTTTTGTCGAGGGGTTCATTCGCGAAATATTCGATGGAACTCTTTCGAACTTCATATATATCCCCGGCCTCGTTCCCTACCACATTCCCACCTCGGTCATTCTCATTCACATTTCCGTTTTCGAGATTCAATCGCTCGCCGATGATCGCTACGTCTTCCGACCTGATAACTTTTCATCTAACCGCGAGTCGCTTCCTTCTTTCTCTCTTTCTCTCTCTTCTTTGTTTAAACATGCTTGAAATACGGTCGGTACGTGTCATTCGCGTTTTCTGTTGTCGAAGAACGATTCAAACCGAGAAACTTTTCGCCGTCTAAAGAGGATTTACTTTTGTCGAAGATCTTAATTAAAGATAGGGAAAAAGGGCTTTCAAGTTGGAGACAGCCGCGAGAAGAAAGTTTTTTCCTTTATCGGTCGTAGAGCGATATTCGTAAAAAATACATTCGGTTAGAATGTGAAGATTGTGACATACCGCAAGTAAGTCTTATTCAAAGAAGCAATTCTATTTTCGAAAGTGATTTCCAGTTTCCTTCGTTTCGCGACGTCGAACGTTTACGAGGTAGATCGAAATTGTTCGATCGATTCTTCGTCGCGCGGCCAGTCGCGGTGAAATGATCGGCACAAAGGAGAGGAAATATGAAAATCGCGCGAACGAGATCGATCTCGGAGCGTTCGTTAACATTCTGCACACTCGGCCAGCTGAAATATTTTTCTCGCTCGGTATTGCCACAGTGGCTGCCTCTCCTCGAACGCGTCGAATCGATGATCAAACGCGGGGGAAAGAAAATTTCTCGCCGAGTCGCGAGCGCGGTTATGCGTTAATTAGTATGGAAACGTGCCGCTCCCCCAAACGAAAAAATTGCCGTGGTTTCCGCGTTGCTTTCTGCTTTCTCCGCTGCGCAAGAAAGAGAGAAACGCGATACAGTTCTGATAAAATAAATGGTAACCCAGTTTCGCGAAAATAAAGCGCGTTTTCATAAGACTTATGCAAAAGAGGAGGAAGAGAAATGGAGGGAAACGAGTGTGGCGGGTACGTGGCAGAGAGAAGCAGAGCGAAGATAAATAGAACAATAGAAGTTTCGCGTTTGTTGTAGTGACCGTTCGTTTCTTAATGTATTTGTTTTTTTTTTTCCTTTCTCTTTAGGACCGCTTTGAACATATATATATATTGTTAAAAAGTTTTACGTGATCTTGCTCTTTTCTTTACGGTTCTTGCTCCTTTGCGATGCAATCTCTTCTCAAAGCTTCTCGCCGACGTTACTCGGGAGATATTTAATTAATTGCGAGAGCGATTTTTTTTTTTTTTTTTTGTTAACGTATAGCGGCCTTTATTGTTACGTCGCAAGGGACGATATCGTTTTCTCGCGTGCGAGTGATCATGAACGCGATAGGCAATAATCGTAGCCACCGTGTATCGGAATTTGTAACACGTACCGCGAACCTCCTTCCGGCGGCCTCGCGCCACCGATGGGAAATCGATTTTTACGAGACTCGTTCCTCAGGCATCTATGACGTGCATGCACGTTGTGCAAAATGATTGGGAAATTGTTTCGCCAAATAACTTTGGCCAACTTGGCTTTGGCCAACGACGGGTTTAGAACGGGGCCGTTACGCTGGATGAATATCCAATGCGATAAAAGCATCGTGGTATTCCGTCAGACATCCCCTCCAATTATTTCGAATTATTCAAAAACATCGCGTTATATTGCCCTGTGTTGTTTCACGCTTCTACGCGGATATTTAACTGTTATTTCACTGAATCGCTAAATCGAAATGTGCCTTCCGCAACGATGAATTTCATCAGCGTTTCGCGCGATTGTTTCAAATGTCAACATTTTAACATCAAAGATTACACACTTCGCCCAAATATGTACGCACACAAATACACATATACGGGGAAACACGCAAAGTTACAGGAAAATTACACGTATTTCGTTGGTCGTTTGACTCGAAAAGTCCCGAGGGTTATGAAATATTCGCGGGAATTTTGCTATCTCCTCTCCTTCGAATCTCCTTCCCATTCGCATTCACCATCCACGCGAAAAATCCACGACCCAGCGTCTCCACTTATGCCCCGATTCCTACTTGCATACAGATAACGGTGATAGTCGTCGCGGAACTTGTGTGTCACCGCAGAGATCGGCGAACGAAATTGCTGGTTAAGATCCAATCACTCGATCATTTCCTTTACGTCTTTCTCAACTGAAATAAGATCGCCGATTTTGCTCCAGTCCTCCGCTCGCGTTCCTTCACCTTCGTTCAAGTAAAATAATGCAGATGAGGGAAGGGGGTGGTGATCCCGGTGACGATCTTCCAACCTCGATTCGTCCATCCAGAGTAGCTGGCACTTACCTTTCGCTCGTCTCCGCCAGATAATACCTCGTTTAACCGATCGGATAACCGGTTTGCTAACTCGGTCGAGCGGCTGTTGCACGCCGTGATAGCTCTGTTTACCTCGCGGATGGAATATCATTTCCGTTCATCGGCGATGATCGAGGGATCGGTTGTTCGATGGATGACAACTGCACAGCTGCGGCGTCGTTTAAGCTCGCTTCGTCCCGGTCGGGCGGTAATTCCACGAGATGTCGCGCGGATTTTGATCACCATCGGTGAGAGAACCGTCTCTCCGCCCCTTCACTTCGGTTTTTTGGTCTTACAACGTCTTTTCGACCTTCTCCACCTGTCCCACAGCTCACGTGATAATTCAGCGACGACTTTGCCCGTGGATCGGGGCGCGACGCGTTTATCTATGTCGCTCGAACGTACCGGAGCTTAGATTTAGAAAGTTTTGATTTTCCAATCCCCTTGCAGTCGATTTAACGCTTTGGCAATCAGCGACTGGTGTTCCGTGTTGTTGCAACGATATCGACAGATACGACGTTTGTCACACTGGCAGGAAAATATATCGGCGATGTTAATCTTTGAATAACACGCACCTGTCGCATTTTTGCCGGATACTGTACGCAGGCAACGGCGGCGGCGTACTTTTAATTAAATGTTGTGTTTGACCGGCGCGAGGATTTAGCGGGGAAACAAGCTCGCGTAACGTTAAACAACGTCGAATTTATTTGTTTGCACGTCTGTTCATTATAAATGATCGATTCTGAATAAATAATCAGACCAATTAAGTAACTTTAATTTTAATTAATTCTATAATTCCAGGCTATATTGCCGTCGTGCCGTCACGTATAATTTCCATGCGTTTCACAGATGGGCGAGAAATCACCGTAGCTAGCTTTCTATTCAAAATCATAAACGGAATTTATCGACAATTCTCAGCCCATTTTCAATTTAATTAACTTCCAGTCCTACTTCTTTTGGTGTCTTTCTTTTTTTTTTTTTTTTCTTTTATCTCATGTCATACACCTTCAAATTTGACTATACCAATACAGTCGTCGGCTTATGTATAACCTGAGCAACAGATTGCAGAATAAAGTCAACTCTTTCTCCGTCTCAATTTGTCTCTTAAAAAATGTTGTGCATGAATACGACATTTGGTTTCTTAACGCGGTATTGTAGTATTTTCCTCACTGTTCCGTACATTGATCTTTTTCATTTCCTTTTACAATTAAATTTATCGTACAATGAATTTCGATTTCAATAGAATAATTCAGTTGATTAAAATCCAATAACATTGCAAAGCACAAGTATTGATTTATACTTTAGACCTCGTTTATATTCATTGTTTCGTATTCTCAAGTCTTTATTGCTCGTTTTTTAAATGTGTACCTTTCACAGTGTCCCACTTAAAAACAATAGGAAGAAAATAAATAATTTAATTTAATTAAACTATCAACGCGCCGCACTTATGCATCGTATCTGTTTTTTTTTTTTAATCAGTCCTTTTTTCCTTCACCTTGAATCTCTTTCTACATCCATTTCCACAATTTGTATTAATCTATATTAATCCGTCTGACCTATTTATACTCGTCTGTATTCGTCTCACTCATCTACACTACACGTTATCTTTCTGTACTTTAATCTTGTCCTTACTTTTTCACCTCATTAACGCACATTACTCTTTCGTCGATTTTTACTTTCTACTTTCTTTCCGTGTAAGAGGCATTTATGCATTTAAATAATCGTCGCGATTTTTGGGACGGTCTGTTCGATCGTAGTGTGTCGTCATTCGATGATAACGCATTTCACGGTTCTGTTTTGTAATTCTTGGCTGATCGCGCCGAGGCGACTAGCAGGAGCCAATGACACGGGTAATAAAGCAAAGCTGTTGCACGAGAAATTTCGTGAGCAGCAGCGCTCGGGAGTGAAATAGGGCGAGGGATTCGAGTTGCCTTCGGTTCGATCGTACCTGGAGTCGCCAGACAGGGCGGTAACCTCGGAATAATCTTACGAACTTCTCAGACGAGAACACTGAATGAGGGTAACGTCATCCATACCGGTCACCTATCATAAATTACGCGAGTACAGCGAAAAAACTGCAGAAAGAAGCGGACGTGGAATGACTCCGTACTCCGAGTACGTTCGAACACTCTTGAACAACTCTGTAGAATACGAGATATTATTGGAACGAATGAAAAAGTTTCGACCTGAGCGTAAAAGAGAATAATTGCTCTGTTATTTTCTGATTAGTTTCCAATAAAAGTAAATGACAGAGAAACGTCAACTTCTAAGTGGCATGTAAAAACATCGTTGCACAGTTTGCAAGATAAAGCCGATCATCATGACAACGACTGTACCAATGACAGTGGAAAATTGTGGATAATTTAAACTGCTACAGCTTTGTAAAAGAAGATTCACTTTAAAGTCTCATTTTAAAGAGCGAAGCTTCTGCTTTGATAGTCGTGAGTTAGTTTCTTTTTGAAGCTGGCTTTACAAAGTGGGGGCACGTTTTTCTCGAAAATTGTAAAAAATTCAATCCATCATTTTGAAGATTAAAGTTTTCTCTTCACGGTGACTTCCTGAAACTTGTGGTACAATTTTTTCTTTACTCTTTCATTGAATATTGAAAACGAGAAATCGTAACATTTTGTCACCTAATGTTCGAAGGTCAATAAAGCGGCGAAGAAAGCAAATCATACGGCGAGTTTTAAGAGGTCGTTGTAGAAAAAAAGGATTTCAATCTCCAAGACCATGGTCAATTTATTCATTAAAAAAAAATTCTCCCACACGTTTGTGAGAGAATGAACATTCTCACACGCGCTGGAACTTTTACAATTTTCGAGGAAAATGCGTCCATCCGTTGCGCGATGTAAAAATCGTCTTCGAAAGAAACAAACTCACGAATGTCAAAGTAGAGACGCTTTAAAATAACGAAAAATCAAGTGAATGTGATTCATTTCATGATCATTTCACTGTCATTGACAACAGTTGTGCACTTCGCTATATATTCTTTACGAACGACTCGAAACATTACCCGGAACAAACGCGAAAAGTTTGCACGTGAGAATAGAAGGGAATCATTCCGCGGCTGCACGGTTGCCGACGAAAGTAAGCGATAGAAAACGAGCCGTGAAATTCTCTGAAAAACACCGTGGTAACCGCTTGCGACCATTTTCCAAGAAAAAGCCGATCATCGTGCGATCTTTACGAGCGGACAAGACCAGCCTTTATACGATCCATCTTTGCCGGGCGATTCTCTCGCGGCTTACACGGGGAAGAACACGGACCATTAATCCCGACCTGTGCGTTACCCCCACGGCCAAATCGCCCACTCTTACGCCCACTCACTCTGTATATCTCTACTCGAGAGCAAAGTTCCAACTCGGTAAAAGGCGAAGTAAGTAGCGTTCCGTGATCGCCCGCGGATCCCTCTCTCGATGGCCGATCGAGCGGGCGCCGTGTGTCGGTGCATCTTCCCGCTCGGCCGCGAGAAGTGGCGCGTTGTGTCGATTTCAATTCTCCTTCTTACGGAGGAGCGTAACGCTGCCGGGCCTTTCCAACACGATGGAAGTTTCGTCGAGCGGCATACTTGGTCCGTTTCCTGCAGAGGCGAAGATTTCCAAGCGGATCTCGTGCGCCGCCGCGCTCTCCAGGATGCTCACCCTTTCATCCAATCGCGGGGGTTGAGTCGTGCCAAAGGGGTTCGTCGACCGCTTCAACCGAGAGTGCCCTCGCGCGAGGCATATTTTTTACTTTCTCTCCCCTTTCAACCACTTTCGTCCTTTCTTCCTCTCTTCTCTTTCTTTCTTTCTTTCTTCTTCTTTTTTCTTTTTTCTTCTTTTTTTGTTTCTTTGTTTCTCAAAGAAGCATTGCCTCGAGCGTCGCAATGCACGCCGCCATTCTCCATCGACGACGGTGAAAGAGGAGGCGGATATCAGTTGCTCGTGCATCATAATTACATACAAGGTCGAAATTGCAGGCTCGGCGTCCCTTGGTCTCGGTAACGAGGCCGCCAGCTGGAATTTCGTTAACGCCGGTAAATCGCTGGTGCCGGCTGGAAATTTATGGCTTGATTTATCACCGCTGTATTCCACGATTATCCTTTCGACGCGGATTACGAAACGGGGTTCACTGTGGGTGAACAGTAAGGAACAGGCCGCGAATGTTGCGCGCAACGTTGTTCGTTCCCAACTGAATGTGAAATTTTTCCAACCGCGATGAAAAAAGTGAAGATGAAACACAACGGAACGTCGACCTTTAAAGCGGAATATCCCATAGAAGTTTAAACGTGCCGATACGTTTCTCTATACGCGATTTTCAAGCTGGAAATTTCGTTTGAAAATTCTTTTTCCGTGTAGAGAACGCATGGCGGGAACGCGCGTTGTTAGGCCAACAAATAAAAATCGTGCATCAATGTAACATTCGGGGATATTTCCTAAACCAAAATACAGTTTTCGAGTGTTTCCGGTCCGGTGGTGTAACCGCCGTGGGCGAGCGATTCGATGAAAAAATAAGTCGAAAAGTGTGGAGTAAAGTTTTTTTCGTTTCAAACCTCGTTTTGAAGGAAATAGACATTGAACGTTAACTGAAAATTAATTAAAAATTAGCTTGACAGGTATGTACCTGCTGAAAATTAAATTTTCAGAAATTGAGAGAAAAACAAATTGTGTTCTACACTTTTGATATATTTTCGCAGATAGAATAACTTTTATTTAATAAATTTTTGAAGTCGATTTTCTCAAAAAGCGAAGATTTAAATGGAAAAAAACATTTCTTTCTGCTCATTCCTATTCCTGCTTAACCTATTTGCATCACGAAGCGAAATATTTCGCGGGATAGTTATAAAACGTGAAATAATTCGCGAGCAGCGATTAAATACCTTACATTTATTGATATGCAAGACGTCAATAGAAGTCAATTAGCGTAGTTTTTATTAAGCTTGTTAACTTTTTATTGAAGTGTGAATACCTTTCTGTTGTTAAAACTGTCAACCGATGGAACAGTTTAGTTACTAATAATTTAAATGATAATGTTATTTGAATATTTTTAATAATTTTGATTATTATAAGTTAAATAATTAGTGACTACATGATAATGATTAAACTATTTTGTTGACTGAAGGTTTCGTCAAAAAGAAAAGAAAGAAAAAAAAGAAAGAAGACAAATTGCTCTTAATCAAAAATAACACAGATTGCGAGTTCTCCATGTAATATTCCCATATAATATAATATATATAATATTAATATCCCACATAATATAATATATATGTAATATATATAATATATTCTCTATATAATATAAGCAGTCTGTCTCGTATTTTAATATTCTAATATTTCACCATTTCATTATTAATATTCCATAGTCATTATTAACAGATAGTAGTAAATATTTAAATCGAAATTTGATAAATTATAATACGCATGAAAATCGCGATGGAAATAGATTAACGAAGTAGAATTGTAATTCTACCAAACAATTTGTAGATACTGAAAAAAAAAAAAAAAAAAAAGAAAACACGCCTAATACCAAAGACACGTATGTACATCTCTGATCGATGTACTTATTACACTTCATTTCAAATCTTCTCAAATTTCGATTGAAACATTTTATCTGCGCATTCTCAATTGACGTGTCTGCATTCTCAAATATCTGAATGTATCCTGAATGGTAGTTAACGCGTGAATGTGGACGTTGATCGATTCGACTGAGCGTTGAAACGTTGATTTCGAATTGCAGACGGCGGGGGTGCCTCGTGCCTGGGCGACACACGGCGGCGAGGACGTGCCAGTGTTCGCCATCGGACCTCTGGCCAGTGTCTTGTTCTCCGGCAGCGTCGACCAGAGCTATATACCTCATGCGATTTCATACGCCTCCTGTCTGGGTCACTACGCGAGCCGTTGCTCCCGAGATTCCTCGTCCAGCAACGACACAATGAGCGCCCCGATAAGCTGCCCCTCGGCGGAGCCGAACAGCGCCGCGATATCCAGCGACGTGATGAATGACCAGGCCAGAAATCCACCCACGAAATCCGCCGCGTCTCTCGAACCCGTCGGCTTCCGTTCGCTGCCGACCTGCTGTATTCTGCTGCCCCTTCTCCTTGCCGTTCTACCATGCCCGCCGCTCCAGGGAACGAGTTAATGCCCGTTAGAGCCTCTTCTGGTAAATGGTTCTCAGTTACGTCCGACCTGAAACCATTCGACCTGTCCCACCGAGAGCTAAGCTTCCGGCTAATCCGTCAGAACGGAGGAGACAACAGGTGACGCAACGATGATCTCTCAGTCTCGTTTTCTCTTACTCCTAGACTAACTCGAGGAGCGGAAGAAAGCGGAGAACGAAGACGACGAAGAGACACATTGAGAAAGAATTTTGGTTCAGGTTTCGAATCGGGTAACTCGATCGAATCAGCCGGACGAGGGGTAAGTTCGAAAGGTCTGTCAAGTCTCTCCCTCGATGGAAGTGATCCGCGGGAACCTCGTTGTGTATTAAACAGCAGGATGAGCGACTTTCGAGGAGAGAAAGAGACAGAGAGGGAAATAATGGGGGAGCACGAGAGCCAGACACCGTGTGGCTCATATATTCGAATTTCCGTGCACGGGGACACGGGTGAATAATTTATCAGCTCGAGCTCTCGATCGAGAGATGTGTAACGCGCCTATTCTCCGATGGAAGCTGTTCAGAAAATCCAGGATATAGATTAAACGGACGGTTAACGTACGGCGAGAGAGGCTGTCTCTTATCTGGGTGTTGCGCCCTCGTGAACGAGATTAACCCCGGAGCCTGCTACTTCCTTAGGCACAGCGTCGCGAGAAACGTGTATCCACGTGGATCCAAGCAGCCTCGGTTAATCAGCGTCAAGAGTCAATAGATAATCTTGCATGCTACGCGATCCCGGAGACGCTCTCTCTCTCCGAAACGCTCGAACAATCGACTGGAAAATTATAGAGCGAAACTACGGGCGTGTCAAGCATAGGGCGTTTTGCAAACGGGGACACACGATAGAACGTGAAGTGGTAATTTGTCGTGAAACGGAGGTGTGTTCGAAAATATGTGTTTCGAGACGTTTGTAGAAGAGACGTACGAGAGAGTCTCCTTCCCTCTGTCTCTCTCTCTCTCTCTCTCTCTTTCTCTCTTTCTCTTTCTCTCTCTTTCGCGGTTGCGCTCACTTCAACGAACAGTTAATGACCGTTCTTGCCTAATTTCGCAAAGAATTTAGTGCCACCCGAGCGCGCGAGGGCGAGGAGATCCAAAGCAGTTCAAGGGACAATTTGCGACGATAATGACTATCCCACGGCAGCTCGGTGAACTTTGCCGACTTTCAAAGCTTTCACGGAATCTAAATGGGGTTTACAAGTGCTACGTGACGAGGATACTTCATCCGAGATCCGCGAGGAGTTCCCTAGAACCGATAGACTCGGCTCCCGGCTCGATTAAAGGGACGTCGAGCGCGTCGATTCCGACGCCGATCGCGTCGAATCAAAGTGTTGGGGAAGTTGCTGGAAATTTGTGAAAGTGATTGTTATGCGAGGCTGTTGTCACACGTTACGTTATATCGTGCTTGGTTCCCAGAGTGCTTTTCCAAGTCGCGTGTTGCGCTAGAACATCCCGCTCGATAGCGCATTCGACGTTGAACAAATTATTTAAATGTAAGAAATACATCGATCGATTGGAACTGATCGTACCGGTTGTTTCATTCGGTTATTCTCCGTTTCAGGGAAATGTTATTCCTTCGATTTTGATTCCGCAACGACGGAGATGAAAAGAATGAGAGAGAGAGCGAGAGAGAGAGAGAGAGAGAGAGAGAGATTCAAAGAGAAGAATATTTCGACAGGGAAATGAATTCTCCCTGTTTCTATTTTTCCCTTTCGTTCAATGTTGTTTCTATTTTATCGGTACTTGAACGTATCCAATTGCGCGGGCAATTTGCACGAGAGCGAGTGGACTGTGAATTTGTATGATAAAATAGTAGCCGTTTCATCGACGACTTCGTCGCTATCATTTTTTCGAAACGTTTCGTTTCCCCTGTTCGTTAGCTCGAATTTGTCGGAATTTGTTCTACACCAGCACACGCCAAGCGTAGAAAGTCGAAGGATCCGTTTCAATTATCCTTCGACTTTCAAACGGGTTTTAGCTTCGAAAATAAATCGGCCAGAGTGCGTGTGTGTATGTATATATATATATATTTGAACGGTCAAGTTCGCCGCGCAAACGAATGAAATGCAAATAATATCGGAGCAGTTATAACAGGCCCCCTTTCATTAGCATTCGAATGGAAATTTCGAGATTCGAAAATGAGCGACGACCGAGACACTCAAGAAAACCGCGTTTAATTCAAATTTATGATAATTCGCTCTGTGATATCGAGTTTAATAGCGATCTCTGGTCTGGCATGGAGTTTCAAGGAAACATTCGGAGACCTCTTTCTCTCTCTGCTATTTTCCTTTTTTTTTCTTTCTTCTCTTTTCCTTTTTCTTTCCTTCCTTTTTCTATTTTTGGATCGAACGTTCGATCAAAGCGGCGATTAGATCGGTCGTGTTCGCGATAAAAATGCAGAGAACCAGAAAGATTAAGGGCGAAAGATTCACGATCGATCAGTTCTGACACAAACGACCTTCCGCGAAATCAGATTCGCTTTAATCCTGGATTACCATTCGCGTTGAAAAGGAGATTCCTCGGGCACTGAGCCATCGAAATGAAGGTTTTTAACACGTAGTCCGGATTCTGGTACGACGAATAACGTGTCATTATCACCAGCTGTAAAATTAAATTCGAACACACGGGATGAGTTGTAATAATTTAAACGAGGAAAGGGAGACTAGTTCGGATAAATTTGAAATGTACCAGATAATCTCGCGTTTCAATTTCTCAATGCAAATTTCAAACACGTGTCTCGTTTAAATACGTATTTATGAAATTTATGTCGATTGTCTGCATTATAATAAAACTTGGATTGTCTGGCCCTATAATCTATCCTTTCGATTTTTCTGAGATTATAAAATTACAAATTTTTTTTTTCATAAATCAGTCCCTCCTGTCTAGGATATTTCTAAACGCATAATGTGAATTCATTATACTGGACTATCGATTCATTGGTATTTAAAAATTTAATTCCTCCGATATTTTCTTCGTCGTTCTAACGACGAATTAAAAATAGTAACAGAGAATATTTTTTAGATAGTACAGTCGTTGGGAGTATCGAGGCTCTGTTGCAACTTTAAATTCCAACCGAGCCTATCGCATTCACGTTCGATTCGTAACTCTCAACTGGAGATACACAACGTGTTTCTGCGTTTACCTGTATCGTAACAACGCCATCATCGAGATTGCACGCAGGCTGAATCGTAGATTTTCCACTGCCACGATCATCGTATTTCGCCGGTTGTGAATCGTCGAAAATATCAAAACGTATAAAAGCGAAGCCGGAAGTTGATATCGTCGTCGCACGTGCTCATCGAGACGTTCTATTTTCGACGGCTCAGCTACGAATTCCTCGGTAACACGTACTCGTTTCGGCAACTTCGTTTCGATTTTGGATATATCCGACCGTTTTGCCACGCCTCCATTAGAATCGGTATCAAAATCGTTATCGCCGACAGGCAGAAACAGAGCTTTATCTAATAATAAATTGTTTTCGCTGCGAAAGGGAGCAAACGAAATTCGTTCTCCGGATATCATACGAGAGGGTAAGACATTTCGCAGGGGCGAGGCTCGTTTCGTTTGATTCGTCGTAAAAGATGCGAGTACCGACGCGATAAAACCTGTAACTGTCGTTGTTTCGTGCGAGTTCTCTTAACAGCGTAAGTTGGATCAATTTTTTAGAGCGGTAATTGTCAGAATAAATTTTTCGTTACGTTTAAAAATGCAATTTCTACGCTGATCTGTGCTAATTTATGGATAGATTGAACTTAAGGATACGCAAAATATCGAAAGTGAAATAATTTTTACAGAGTTTAACAACGGAAAGGAGACTCTGTTTCTTCGATTGTGTTCAGAAAAATTTCACCAACATATTTCTTGACAATGACACATATTTTGCGTGTATTGCAAAAGATCGCTACAATATTAGCCGATATCCCAGTTGACTGGGACCAACGTTGGTACTGCAAACGAAACAGTCTCATTCCATGAGTGTGAAAGTAATTGTGGAAGGAGGTTTCAGAAGAAAAATTGTAGAACAAATGAGAAATGAGTATGTAAACGTATAAAAGTACATCGTGCTCTTTGGCTGCTAAAGACAGTCAAAACTCGCCGGCAAGGAACGTTTGTTAATTATCAGTCTTTCGTTTTCATTCTCTGTACTTGAACTTTAAAAAACAAAATGAAAGCGATTAAATTTTCTTATTTTCATTTTTCAGAACCAACGACGAATAATAGAAAAAAATTGCGTGCAGATCGTCTCAACTTGCAAATGGAAACGCGTTACAGGAAATTAATTGCGCAAGAAAGCCTGGATGGCTGACACGACTCGGGCCAGTTCTACTTGTATTCATTCGCCTTGTCAACGTAAGCCATCGGTTAAATCGAGATTGCACGATCGTTTTTGCACGCGTACACGGCGCAAGTACAACGAGTAAGAATCGCTGACGAAACTAATCAATTTTCGATTAGTAACACCGGCAATTGCGGTAAAAACACAACGCGCGAACGTTTCTTGCGGAATGTTCGCGAATACAGAGACATCTGGTAACCTGACGAGGTAAATTACTGTCGCAAATAAATTATCGTAGCAGACTACTCGTTACTGTTCATTATTATTATCGATGTCCAATCAGTTTAATTGAAAATTATTATCATCGTCGCGAGTTTGAAGACTGTTGCAAATTCGAGGGAAACGTTCGCGTTGGCTGTTGTCGCGAAGGGCGACGCAACGAAATTTTCGTACTTCGTGAGAGTCTTTAAACGCCGATTTTGCCCGTTGTTCCCGCAAAGTCGTTATCGCGAAACGTAGTTAAATCCGCTGGAAGAAGTACGGCAGATTCTATGCAAACGTCAAACGCCAAGGTTTATGCACAGCCGCGCCAGTGGACAATGATGAAACAATAGACAGGCATTCAGGACAAAACAAACTTGGCGCGCGAACTTCTCAGTAAGATTTCACGAAGTTAACAACGAAGCTTCAAGCTTCGGCGGATAGGAGTAGGGAAGAAGAAGAAAAAAAAAAAGGAGATTCGTCGAGCATTAACTGCAAAGTTTGAAAAACGACCGTTTCAGCCTGCTGAACTGAACTTTCAAGAGGGAGAGGGGTAAACTCCTCCGTGTTTCGCTGGCTTTCCTCGACGTTCCCTTAAAAATCGTTGTTCCCGTGTTTCTGCGTTTAGAATAAACACCGTAGCAGCCGTCGAAGCGTCCGAGTTAATCCGTGATATCTCTGTCGGTATATTTCGATTTTACGATCGGCAGGTGTGTACAAGCTTGAAGCACGTAAAAAAACGTACACGTCTGCCGATGACGTTGTGACTTTTTTTTCTTTTTCTCTTTCTCACTATTTTCTGTTTACAGCTTTTACAGTTGTAACACTGTTTACTTTTAATACGTCATACTTTTTCTCTCTTTCTTTCCATTGCAAATGGATATCGTATCGCCTTAAATTTTCATCGGCATTCCGTACTTTTATCGAATTCAACTCTAGTACGTTACAGAAGCTTCAAGTCTATGAGCTATGGTTTAATAATTCCATACCGGCTTACATTTCCGCCGTTTTTAAAGGGAATATTATACGAGAGCATAATGCGTACGTAAGCTGAAAGATACAAAGGTAGAAAGTAATATTCTCTGTGCTTGTGCGCCTCGGTGTAGATCGGCCGACTGATTTTTCTTCTCTGTCTATCCATGAATTTTCGATGAATATTATCATCGTTAGATTATGGACACGAAAGACTGGAGTAGTAAAAGAAAATTTCGGTTTTTATTTCGAAAAAGGTTAGACTCGAGTAAAATTTTTGACAAAAAGAGAAACTTTTACCGTAGTTAGAAATAGAAACCAAATTTCCGCAATAATTACGAGATGCGAGCGTAATAAGCGAGTCGAAATTTGTAGACTCTGACGTGGTGTTCGTCGAAAACGAGAGAGAGAGAGAGAGAGAGAGAGAGAGGCATTCTTTTTGAAAACTTTCGCGAATTACGCGAAACACCGCTAAATATCAGCACGGGAGCACGACATAAATTTTCAACGATCCACCAAACACAAACGCGGGCCCGCGGGTTTCCCTTCCTCAAACAGGGGCCGACCGAACTCCAACAACAAGCTAGAACAGTTAGGCAACTTCGACGAGCAATAGCTGGAGAGCTATCAGCATGATACACGCGTAAATCGCCGCCGCGAGTCAACGAGACTCGGGGAAAACGTGGAGTGTTTGCTCTCGTGTAAAATAATTCGAGAATCAAGCAATCAGCGAACAACGGTTTCCCGGTGGATTCTTAAAAGTCTTTCGATCTTTGTCGGATTGAATTCACTGACGAAACTCATCTGTTACCACGCGTTATCGAGGGAATTGCACAGGCGAATATCCTCTATCTTTCAAAAGCTCAGCGTCGTTCGTTATCCGATAGAAAAGTAACACTCTCTCTCGACTAGTTTCCGTCGCGTAGCATTGCGTTGCTTATCGACGTATCAGATATCTCGAGCGCCGATCAAAAATCGGATAAACCATCGGAGCAGAAGGGAAATCCCTACGTTGATTTTCTATTTGCAGCGGCGCGAGGCTACGGTGAGAAAAGAAAAGGCGGCGGGGAAGGGGGTTTAAGTACGGTATTCGCTGTTGGATCGGAACTAGGAAAACTGAAAACTTCTTTTCATGCCTCGTCTCATACATCTCTTTTCATCGGTAGGTTTCGCTTGCACAACCCCGGCTCGCAGCTTCCCTATTGACATCTCCGAGGCGAGATGTTCTTTTCTTCTCAAACGTTCCTTTCACCAGAGTCGCACCCCTTCATCCTCCATTTTCGACTGTGTCGCACTGTAGAAAGATTCATTATCGGATACTCGTCGAACAGAGAACGAACCGTTCGAAATTTGTTACGGGAAATTTGTCGTTCGGAATTTCGTTTTTCAAAATTTGACGTTCCAGAGATAAGTGGGCCTCGTTGCGGCGGGAAATTGACTGGTAAATTTGCTACGGAGATTTTCAACGCAAATTGAAACGAACCAACAACTTGAGAGAAACTTAAAACTAAAATTGAAATGGAATTGCGGAAAAGCAATTTTTCAATTTGCGTTTTTCCTTGTCCCAAGGACAGAAAAGAATGATCCAAACGAAAGAATTGTTTGACAGATCTGCGCAGATCCATGCAATTTGTTGCGCGATTTTCGTAACGGACACACGCTACAAAAGCGTTCCTTTCGGCCTGAAAATTCGACTGTTTGTAAAGAAAAGGGATATTCTTGCTTGTTCCTTCTACGATCGTTGAAACACAACGCGTGATCAGGATGCAGATACTCGGCGGGTATCGCCTGGGTCGTTCGTTATGATCTGTTTTATAGCCGCCACGTTTATTACGGTCTTGTCATCGATTTGACAGGGGAGAACCGTTCTCAGCGCTAATAAAAGCGCTGTAATAAACGTATTGTTCGACCTCTTATTCGAGAACGCGCCGTAAATATGACGCAAACAATTTTCGCGATCTATGTAAAACGATCGTCTGTATTGAAGGGATCTTAGGCAGATCGCTTCCACGGGATACATGAAACTTTTAGCGCTCGAAGTTTCATAACAATAAAAACGAAAAGAGAGAAAAAAGTGACTGCTGTTTGTATCTTTCTTTTTTTAGTAAAAAGAAATTCATTGAAAACGCATTTGAAATAATCCTGAACCCTACGAGGCTTAACTGTAACAATAAAGAAAATAGCTGCTCCGATTTATATTTTTACATTTCGACGTATGTTTCGATTTATCGCGTACGTGTTCCGGCTCGTTTGGAGAGATGAGGGAGGTTAAGGACCCGCGGCGATGAACCGCCCTTTCTTCGTGACACGTGGCCGTATATCGTGCCGATAACAAGGACCAGGTGGGTGGTTTCGACGATTCGAGTAATTTCTGTTGAACGGCGAGATCGGCGGGAGATCGATTCTTCCGGCCTAACTGGAAGATTAATCTGGCCCGGTAAATTTCGTGAGATAGGAAAAACTCGGGGCGGGGT